GGGGGAGAGTGGGAGAGGGGGCAAAGCTCGGGGAGGAGAGTGGGAGAGTGTGTGGTGTGGGGGTGGGGGAGGGGGGCCAGCCGAGTGGCTGAATAAATCACAGTGCAGCGCCTACGCGCTAGGCGCTGCACTTTACAAGTGTGGCGCCCGAGCTATAGGCGCTACACATTACATGTGCGGCGCCTAGCACGGAGGCGTTGCACTGCTGGGTGCGGGCCCAGGGGCTGCCACGGTGGACTGGTGTGCAACGCCCCCGCGCTAGGCGCTGCACAGTAGGGTGTGGCGCCGTCGTGGCGGGCGCTACACGAAAAGATTAGGGCTGTGAAATAGTTTCACGATCAGTTCATTCCATGAATTGATTTTATCCATAGGTCAAAATGGTCAAATTTCCCTCCCTCTCCCTCGTCCCCTTGGTCGCGTCGCCCCTCTCTATCACCACTCCGGCCGTCCGCCCACCTCGACCTCGCCTCCTCCAGCGAGCCGTCGAACGGCGCAAGGTTCGATCCCCCAAATCAAATCCATCTCGGTGCGATTTCCTTGTTCTCACGACTACCTGCTTCGCTCTTCGATCTCTCGCAGGCTGTTGGGACTTGGGACCAGCCACATAATCTCAGATGGCTGAATCCTTTGTGCTCAACACCGGTGCAAGGATCCCATCAGTTGGCCTCGGCACGGCGATGGGGAAAGCCGAACCCGGCGTCGTACGGGAGGCCGTCTACGCCGCCGTCAAGGTCACCTTTAAGCAGCATCTGTACTAAACTGCCGAATCACATCTACGGAGTAATTAAGATGAATGATCTGTTGAATTCAAAATTAGGTTTCTTCCGAAGTGCCCATGTGCTACTCATTTTGTGTGGCTTAAAGTGCTACCGAAGCCTGTCGTGGTTTCGATTTTGAAATACCAAAATGCACTGCTCTGTTCAACACTGAAATTTTGATGTTTCGGCAATACTACAGGCTGGATATCGGCATATCGACTGTGCTCCAGCGTACCGCAATGAGAAGGAGGTAATTGGTAATTACTTGAGCAGTAGTATTCAACCAGATTTGATGGATGCCCCTTAGATGTGCTTGTTGTGGAGATTGATTTTTTTACCAATTTAAATTAGCTGGTCTGTACTCACTGAAAACATGTGTGATGCTAAATTTTCTGTAACAAAAATTGTTTGTTTGCACAGTAATGTACATAATTCTGCGCACTATCTGTACTGCTGTGTTTTGTCCCTGACAAGGAAAATGGTTCTTCTCTTTGTTCAAAAAATATGGATAATTACCATATCAAATGAAGTGCCAAAATTTCTGAAAACATTCTGACCTGTACATGTGGGAACGAATTATGAACCTGCAAAATTGATGGAAAAATATTTAGATATGTGGTCTGCTTAAAGAGAAGGCCACACTGCAACTCTTGATATATTCATGCATCCATATGTTATCTGAACTCATGTAGTACCACAAAAGATATCCCTCCTCTACTGTTGTTGATTTTTACCAAAAGATATGTTATGTTTTGTAACTAAGCTAACTGGATTGAAACATATGCCTTCTCACCTTTTATAGATTGGTCTCGCTCTCAAGAAATTATTTGATGAAGGCGTGGTTAAGCGTGAAGATCTATTTATCACTTCTAAGTTGTGGTTAGGCTTCATGTTTTCAACCTCAGCTGCATCATCCGTAGAGAAGCAGCTTATGTAATTTGCAGTGCTGCATTTTCAAAGATATTTTAAATTTTGCAGGTCTGGTAATCAAGCCCCAGAAGATGTGCCAGAGGGCATTGACACCACTCTTCAAGATTTGCAGCTGGACTACTTAGACCTTTTCCTTGTAAATTTCTATGCATAATTGTCCACCTATTTAATAGTGTATATATTGAAATTCCCTTCACTCACATAATACTAAAAGTAGATGTATTATGCTTATTATTCAGTCTCAGCAACATTTTCAGCATGAATGCTTTTTGTATTTAGTAGTGATAAATAAACTATAAAATATTTTAAAAATCGAAAAGGAGGTTGAAACCCCCAGCCTAGCTTTCACTGAACTATGAAGTGTATTCTCAAGCCCATCGTGGGAGAAAATTGATTTTGACCGTCTGTATATGTACCCGAGTTGTTTTGTTGATGATGTCCTATATTTTGCAGATCCATGCTCCACTTCGTTCGAAGAAAGGTGCCATCCCAACCCCTGAAAACTTTCTTCCTGTTGACATTCCTGCTACTTGGGGAGCAATGGAGAAGTTATATGCCTCTGGTAAGGCCCGTGCGATCGGTGTGAGTAACTTTTCTTGTAAGAGGATGGAGGATTTGCTTGCCACTGCAAGTGTACCTCCAGCAGTCAACCAGGTTGAGTGCCATCCAGGTTGGCAGCAAATGAAACTCAGGGAACTTTGCCAGTCAAAGGGTGTTCATCTTTCTGTAAGTTTTAAACATCGCCAGTATAGCGGCGATTTCCCCTCTCTTTTCAGTAACTTTGGTAGTTACTTTCTTGAAAATTACTCCACTTCTCTTGTTTGTTGTTCACAATTTTTTACTTCTGCTTTTGCAGGCATATTCACCCTTAGGAAAACATGGATCACCAGGATCCACGGGTCCAAGCTTTCTTAGCAATCCCATTGTCATCTCTGTTGCGGAGAAGTTAAACAAAACTCCTGCGCAGGTTGCCCTACGCTGGGGTCTTCAAATGGGCCAGAGTGTACTCCCGAAAAGCACTAATGAAACAAGAATAAAGGAGAACTTAAGCATATTTGACTGGTCTATCCCTGAAGATTTGATGGCGAATTTCTCTGAAATTCAGCAGGCATCTCTCAACTCCATCCTTGTTATTTTGCTCTGTTGAAACAGAATTTTATCCGCATTATGATGTCAGCTTTACCTTCCTATATTTGTTATCTGATATTGTTTTGTCTTGCTAAATGCAGGTTAAGGTGCTAAGAGCTGAATTTGTGGTTCACCCCCAAGGTATTTTCAAAACCGTGGAGGATTTTTGGGATGGTGAAATCTGAAGCGTATGAAGTGCTGCACTGAAGGCATTGCATTCCAGCATGAAACCGTAGTCGTCGTCTGATTTTGTATTTGCATGTAGATGCTTCTTGTAGAGAAGAAACTGAAAGCATATTGGCTAAATCATCTGTCTTCCTCTGTAATTTTTATTGGTGTTACTATGATTATCGGATCCCTTTATCCGGGAATATCTCATTTTCAAGTGTGAAAAATATGATTTATGTTATAGTCAATAATTCATCTATAGTCAATACAGGCCGCTTCATGATACCTAAGATCATAGAATCTATAGTTGAGCCATGATGTCCCCTGTTTTACTCCATTTTCCTTGTTTATAATACTAGTAAATATATACAATATGAAAAAAAATGTATATTTAATAATACTAATTTGGTACTGTGGTTGTTGATGAATTTTCTACAAAGTTGGGTCAAATTTTACATAGTTTTTTTTGTGAGATAAACTTTACATTGTTTGGCTTCAAGCAAAATTTATGTGCCTTCTTTTTAAACACGAGGGAGTAGAAAATAGTTCGGGTCTAATCATTTTTTTCATTAGTGCTGCTAAGAATTGAGAACAATTGGTATTCTGGCAGCTACCAGAAAATGGTGGTACATCTCTAAGGACATCTTCAATGTGAATCCTTAAATCGGCCCCAAATATCTGAACCGGACGGTCATGAGGCTTTTAGTGCCCCAATGCAGATCACCAAATCGGGCTAGACCGGTTCAGGCGTTCGAAATCCAAGTGGCTAGCTTCAAATCGAGGATGTCTCGGGGAGTCCAGACGTCAGCCCATGGCAAATTTAGGGAAAACGTGTAGTGTTGAAATGAAATTAGGAAAAAAATGTTTTCTCTAGAAGTCATGGCAGAAATTTTTGTGTTCACATGGCAATTGTAGGAATGATGATACAAAAAAACATGGCAGTTATGGAAGGAACTGTAAATTGTTACATGGCAAATTTAGAATTTTTTGTGTTCTGGATCATGGCAGCAATTAAAGAATGTTGTAATGGTCAGATGGCAAATGTAGGACTTATTGTACTGCTCACATGGCATATTTTGGAAAATGTTTGTATTGCTCACATGGAAAATTTAGTGGGTATTTTTTTATTCTGCACATACAAAAAAATTATAATAATAACAAGTATTTTTTTTTCACGAATACGCAAAGCTTGCGTATCTTTTTATTGATAGAAGAAAATGGATGAGTATAATAGGGGATACAACACATGATATGAACGCAAAGAGGCATGATCATGGCATCTGGAGCAGAGGCAAGGGGTGTTCAGCCCGAACAGGGGAAATGACACAACTAAACCCACGAATCCTAAATAGAGAGGCAGACCGAACTAGCACAATGTCAAACATCTTGAAATCCAACACCGGGGCGCCGCAAGCAAACAAGATAGCGCCTTCAAGAAGGGATGCGACGTGGTGATGCCGCCGCCATCCGGTCCGAAGAACCGGACCTAGGGTTTCCCCCAATGCTCAAAGAGGGACACAGATAAAGGCCATAGCGGCGCCTCCGGGAAGGGAAATGGCACTCGCAAGTGTTGCCGCTGCCAACATCGGCAAGCCGAGCATGGATTTCGCCTGGCCTGATTCTGAGCAATCCCAGAGCCACCAGATCAGGATCCAAAGATGAGGAAGACAATCCGCCGATTGACCGCCATCCCGGTACGGAGATGGTGGGGCTGCACGTGCTGCCGAAAGAACACAAGCTTTGGAGACGACATGCCGTGAGTGTGGACGGGGTTGGGAAGGTAGCGCGGTAGAAAGCCGGCGTGGAGGATAGGATGGCGAGCGACGCCGCCGGCAAGCTGGAGCCGGAAGGGAGTGCAGATCCAAGCTGCCGGAGCCGAAGCCGCCAGAACACCGGCAAATCGATGACGCTGTAAGGGGACGCAACGACCGAAGTGTCGGGGCCGACATCATGCCGGTAAGGACGCCGACAGGCCATGGACGCTGGAGAATGCAGGTCTGTGGCCTCCGGGGCCGGAGCAGCGTCAGCAAGGACCCGTCACGAAGCTTCAGCCCACTGCCCAAAACACACCATGACCACACACGGGCATAGGCCGCCACCGTAACTCGGAGGAGGCGCCGTCGGAGACGGAGGGGCAGCCTGCAACGGGCAAGACCGAGCCTTGACCAGCCCGTCACCTCAACAAGTATGACAACTTACATAAAAAGGTAATCAATCCAGGAAAAAAAAAAGAAACAACTCTCTTTCATGAGAAGTTCTCTAGTCATGATATGAGTACACAAGCTGATCAACTCACATCAGACTGCATGTCAAATGTCGAATATGTGTTCTGGGCATGTTGCAAGCAACGGGTTATCCTTTTATAAACATATAAATATCATCATAATCTGTTTTGCAAAAAACACAGCATAATTTGGCCATGCTATCAACAGTATTGGACCGTAGAATAGGGTGCGCCTGTGTGCGTATGTATGAGTGTCCGCGTCTAATACCGTGTTCGAAAAAAAAGACAGTATTGCATAGTAGAACTCACGTGAACCTGCTTTTTTTTTACAGGAATTCACCAGACCCTACTATATATGTGCTGTTTATAATTCATGATCCGCTATTATCCTCGTTTTTTACTTCTCACGTGGGGCCGTGTGACCATTACAGCTTCGCGCTAATAAAAAGTTGGCGCGGGAATATAAAACCCTTAGGCCGGCAGGTCCGGCAAAAAGAACTCTGCTGGCCGCTTGTCGCCGTTCTCCGCCTTGTCGCACGCCCGCATTGCCTTCCGGTCTCCCCCCTTGGCCGCGTCTCACCTCTCCTGGCGGCCGTGAGCTTCCCTCTACGGAGCGACGGCGTAAAGAGCGTAAGGATCGATCAGCTTCAGTTCCAACCCAATTGCAAGTAACCACCCATCATTCCTCGGCTTTTCCGTCAGGATTAATTTCACTATGCAGTAGCGCAGTAGTTAAATTCTTCTCAGCTTGAACTCTGAAGGACCCTCGTAATCCCTCGTAAATCCAAACTGTTGTTATCTTCTGTGCTAGTTAGTCCTCAAGTGCCAATGAATGGATTACCTTACCTGTTTGGCTGTTTCTTCTTCGATCGATCGCAGGCTTTGGGGGCAGATAAACAGAGATGGCCGAATCCTTTGTCCTCAACACCGGCGCAAGAATACCATCAGTTGGCCTCGGCACGGCTAAAACAGAACCCGGGACCGTCGCGGAGGCCGTCTACGCTGCTGTCAAGGTCTGTAGAGATTATTACTCTGTTTTATTTATTTTAGATAAACTATTCGAATCCGCTGTAGATGTTCAGATTTGATCAATTCAAACTTTAGGCCTGTGTAGCTGGAAGCTGGGACTTCCTCTTCTAATCGCAAAAATAAAAAAATAAAATAGTTTTCCGACCTACCGGATTCGAACCAGTGACCTAAGGATTTATCTGCAACGACTACAGTCCTCCGCTCTACCAACTGAGCTAAGGTCGGTTTGTGTTAGTCTGCGTGCACCCAACATCATAAGCAAGAACTTCACCGTCTGAACAACGTGCATCCCATTCTTAAATTCGAATCTTAGCTGCACTTGAAGTGCTCACATGCTACAATGTGTGTGATTTCATCTGGAGCGGGGCATTTTGGCACCTACAACAAGCAACACAATTAGTTATAAGGTTATCTCTGTGATTCCAAAATTCCACCTGTTTAGCCTACGTTCACTTAGTTTTGGGTACTTTTTGCTTCTATTCTCGCTAAATTCTACTTTTGCATTCTCTTTGGCCTCCTCTTTTTCCGCTGAAGCTCCGCCACTAGGTTTAAGCTCTGGAAAATGCTACTGAAGCTTTTTGTAGTCTTAACTCTTAAGCTTGAAATATGAAACTATACTATCTCATCCAAATCTAAGAGTTTGATGCATTTATAATACAGGCTGGATATCGGCATATTGATTGTGCTCCAGCGTACCGCAATGAGAAGGAGGTAATACTTGAGCCATAGCATCCTATCAGATCAGGAAAATCATAGGTTCATGAAATGTTGGTGGTTAGTCAACACTCATGACATCATTGTTATTTTTATCTGAAGTAATTTCTTCTACACAAAACTGCCCATCTGTAACCTTTATGTTTTTTCATATAACCCAGCGAATTGAATCTACGCCCTTTTATAGATTGGTTTGGCTCTGAAGAAACTGTTTGAGGACTGCGTGGTTAAGCGTGAAGATTTATTTATCTCTTCTAAGTTGTGGTTAGGATTCATTCCTTTTTACCCTAGTTTCATCATTTGTATGTAATTTGCAGGGCTGTGTTGTCAAAAGATGTTTTGGATTTTGCAGGTCTGGTAATCACGCCCCAGAAGACGTGCCAGAGGGCATTGACACTACTCTTGAAGATTTGCAACTGGAGTACTTAGACCTGTTCCTTGTAAATTTCTATGCTTGATTGTCTATCCATTTAATAGTGAATCTACTGTGATATATGACTCACAGTACTGAAAGTACAAATATGGCTCACCTCTAAGCAACTTCTTTGGCGTAAAAGATTGAGAGGGTCAAACAAAACCTAATAGTATTACATTTACTGAACGATGAAGTGTTTTTTTCTAACTGAATGAAGTGCATTCCTGAGCTCAGTGTGAAGTAAAAGTTGCTTTAACTGTATGAATGTCTTTTCGAAAAAATATATGAATGTACCTTAGTTGGTTTACTGATAATGTACTATCTTGTGCAGATCCACGCTCCAGTCCGAACTAATAAAGGAGCTGTCCGAACCGCTGAAAACTATATTCGTCTTGATGTCCCTGCTACATGGGGAGCGATGGAGAAGTTATACGACTCCGGCAAGGCTCGTGCAATCGGCGTGAGCAACTTTTCTTGCAAGAGGATGGAGGATTTGCTTGCCATTGCTAGAGTAACTCCTGCTGTCAACCAGGTTGAGTCCCATCCAGGTTGGCAGCAAATGAAACTCCGCGAACTTTGCGAGTCAAAGAGTGTTCATCTTTCTGTAAGTTTCGAATATCACCAATGTACCAGCAATTTTCCCTATTCTTCTTTTTCAGTAAGATACTGCCCAAGTTTCTTGAATAACACTTCTCCCTTTAGTTTACTTTAGGTTGTTTTCTTGAAAATCACTTCTCCATTGGTTAGTTTACCTTAGGTTGTTCACAAATTTTTACTTTCATTTTTGTAGGCATATTCACCCTTAGGTAGACCTGGATCACCTGCGTTCACGGGTCCAAGCTTTCTTAGCAACCCTATTGTCGTCTCTATTGCCGAGAAGTTGCAGAGAAGTCCTGCACAGGTTGCTCTACGCTGGGGCCTTCAAATGGGTCAGAGTGTACTTCCAAAAAGCATCAATGAAACAAGGATAAAGGAGAACTTTAACATATTTGACTGGTCTATTCCTGAAGATTTGATGTCAAAGTTCTCTGAAATCCCACAGGCATGAATAAACTCCTCTATTTTCCTCCATGCAAAATTGCCAATGGTCCTTCCTATCTTTATTATGTTGGTTATATTGGCTTAGCGCACCTTGATAGTAATATGCAATATTTTGTCCTTTCAAAAAAATTCTTAAAAACATTAATGTTTTATATCATTATTTACAAACACAGTGCATGTTAATCCATAGAATTACCCTCTGATATTGGCTATTGAGATTGTTTTGGTCCTTGTATGCAGATTAAGACTCTAAGAGCTGAATTTGTAGTTCACCCCCAAGGTATTTACAAAACCGTGGAGGATTTTTGGGATGGTGAAATCTGAAGTGTATGAAGTTCTGATGAAGGCCTAGCATTTTATCATGCTAGCATAAATATCTTCTTGTCATTGGTTGTATGCAGATGGATATACTTCCTTTAAAACTGCTGAGAACAAATGCCTTGTTTTTTATGAATGTGTGCACCAATGGATGGGAAGACCGAAAAAATGCCTTCTTTTACTGAAGGCTTAAAATAATTGCTCGATCATATATTTTTCCCATGTGCTACCATTTTGATTGTTGTATCCCTCTATTCGCAAATATTGTATTCAAAGTGTGAAAAATGTGTATCATATTGTAGTTCTTAACCTTAAGAGTATTACATCGTTTTTCAAGAAAAAGCAAACACTTTTCACCTTGGCATTGATAGAAAAAATATAATTTTTACAAGCCCATAAGGGCATCTTCAACCCGGCTCACCAAATCTCTGCTAGATGTTCAATATGTTTGGACCTCACGGTTGAGAC